CGGAAGCTGCTTGAAATCCACCTTCACATAAGTTTCGTCGTCCATGACGACACAGTCGAACTTTGTGAGCAAATTCGTATACAGCTTTCGGGAACGCTGCTCTGCCGACGTGTTTTGTTTGTAACCTCGGTTCGCCACCTTCTTAAACGTCGACAACCCGGCTCGGTTCTTGGCCCGCTGCACAGTAGTATGGGAGACATTGAGCTTTCCCGGGACGTCCCGGATGGAGAGGTTAGGGTTCCGCTTATATTTCACCGCCACCTTCCAGGCTTCCTGGCGATCGACAGACGCTCCCCGAACACTTTTAAAACATTTGTCACGGTCGATTTGGCCACATCCAGCAATGTTGCCAACTTGGCATGTAAGAACGTCGGATTCTCTTGCTGCGCGAGCAAAACTTTGACACGCTGCTCCTCTTGCTTGGACGTCATTTTGAAAACTGGAGAGCAAACGATGAAAACTCATCATAGCAACCATTGTATATACACGCAACTTCCAAATGCAGCATTTCAGGGTTTTTTTTATGCATTTTCAACAGAAACACACCAATTTGAAGTTGACCAATTTTTGCGCGTTCCAGACTTTAATTTCCTCAGGCATGATAACAAAGAGATCGTACGGTAAAGGGCCACCCACATTAGATCCGTTTGCGTTGACGTTAATTTGACAGTTAGACAATAGATTTAGCTGTCATTTTACCGCAACGCGTCCGATCCGGATCTAATGTGCGTGGGCCTTATGAATTGCGATCACACGCTGGTTTTCAAGGCTTTTCAATAGCTATTACTTTAACCTATCTCCATGCTGGTGGAACTATATTGAGTTTGTAACCAGTGGTGTGTCTGTCTGTCCTTAGATAATTAAAACATAGATTTGCCACTTCGGAAATAAACTGGCAACAAAAATGTGGCGCCTTACTGAGAAAGGCGGTCAACGGGTGAACTATTTTTTTCTCCCTGCGCATTCATAACTTTGCCCGCTAAGATTAATTTACTTAGATTGCACAAATAAATTATCTTGATTGGGTGCATAGCAAACAAACCCAAATGGTGTTCATATGATTTATTTTCATGCAAAATTGACATAAATTTTCCCGTGTTTTGGTTCGTCCAGTTTACGCCCAATTTGAGTAAACATAAGCTAAATACGGCTTAAATAATCACAGCATGCAGAGTAATTTGTGATTAGCGTGTATATCTGCATTTGCGTGAACAAACACTTTGAGTGCCGATTTCTGTCTAAAACAACAGTGATTCATACCAGAAACCAAAATAGGGTTTCGACGGTGGGAGTTTCAAAATTGTACGAGAGCTGCTTCCAGTCCAAATTAAAAAAACGTTTCACAAGGTTCTAGTGAAAAACATGTGTTTCCCTAGCTGTTGTTTTTTGATGAACATTTGAATGATATTTTCTTGGGTTCCAGCTCAAGAGACTTGGAGAAATGGATTAACGTCTGCGGTGTCACGAAATTCTCGAAAGAGTCGGTTATTTGCAGCGATCAGGATGACGACCTCATTTTTCCGCTTTGCAAAATTAAGGAATTAGCTGTTCCGTCTTCAAATCGGAACGTTGCGAGCCAAATTTCACATTTAGATGGCATTAGTTCGATGGATGTTGACTTTCAATTTAGCGAGTCGGAATCGGAATGTATAGAGATTGACGATATTCATGACAATACAGTTGTACATTATTAATATTATTGACAATATTTCTCCACCACTTAAGATTGAACACAGCTAATAAAAAGCAAAACAAAACCGATGTGGCATACACAATTTCAATTTTCAACGTCAGACGTGGAATGCGCCATCCAAAACATTAATGTACGCAGGGCAGTTTTGATTCGGAATGCGCACCCATTTCGGCTGCTAAACTTTTAGCTCACCCGTTGGCCGACAGATAGCGCACTATCAATGTTACTTTTCGAGTAAAAGCAGGGATGCCCGACTGAGCAATCTATGTTTTAATTATCTAAGGTCTGTCTGAGATTAGTGAGATTGTCGCGATTAGTGTTTCGTATTTTATGTATAACAATATGCCAAGGAAAGGTTTGAATACAAGCTACCAACACCACCCATCGCCCACAAAATCACCCACTGGACAGTACACAGCCACACCACTAAACGACTGGAAGATCCTCTACCTACCACCAGATGGCACTGTTTACTGGATTTGGAGGCCATTAGGAGGTGGCATAATGGGGCCATGATGAGGCGAAATAGGGCGGAAGGACGATGGCTCAGCGAGGAGGAGAGAGGATAGGTCAGCCGCCATCGTTGAGAATTATTTGATTGGCGATACTCAACAGCGATACTTCGTAAAGCTAGTTCAAGCAAGTTCGAAAATCAGTAAAAACCGTGAGGACGTAAAAAAAAAGTGAAGAAGGAGAGTGAGGTGCAGAACCATCCAGGTAAAATTCCCTTCTAGAGAAACACCTTCTCGATCGCCAATAACCGCCATCGTGATTCCCCATTATGTCCACAGGACCCCGTAGTTTACCGCTGGCAATTCATCCACGGCGTGGTCAGACCCCGTAGTGTCCGTCATTCGGCATACGGCGCGGTTAGACACGGAGCATCTTCCGATACGAAGGTATCCGAGAATACAAACCAACGGCCCATCGACCGTTAGACGCCACGAGTATAGTGAGGAGAGAGAGAGAGAGAGAGAGAGAGAGAGAGAGAGAGAGAGAGAGAGAGAGAGAGAGAGAGAGAGAGAGATCGAAGAGCCGTCGCGGAAAGTACCGAAGTACGCGACCGGCTTGCGAACCAAGTCGAAGGAAAGGAACCGACTGGGCTGTGAAAAGAGCCCAGAAGGAAGCTGAGGAAGGTGAAGGAGTGGCTGTAGAAGGACCAACAGCGGGCCCGCGCTGAAGCATAAGAAGAAACTTCAGGCGAAACGAGGTAGGAGATAGCCAATAAGAAAGTGGGACGAAAGTGGGAACAATAAAGGTACCTATAGCTAAACAAGTGTTGTGTATGTTGGATATTTGAGTGTTTCCTTGGCCGTGATATTCGAGCGCGCATGCCGACCCTGAGGTAGTGTAGAGGGGGGTCTCATTAGTGCTGGGCAGGGAGTACCCCATCTGTTACAAGTTCCATAAAGGAATTATACAGGTTAAGTAATCGACTTGCGGGAAAACCCTTGAGAGGTGGCTCTGCGAAAATTCAGATTTACCGGGAAAATGGTGAATTCCTGAAAATAGACCTGATGATCCGCGATTTTTTTCTAAATCGTGTATGAAAGTAGATAGCCATACCTTTCGAATGGTGGCTGAATCATAACGATTGATTATCGCATTGTCGAGAACCAGCCATGTCAACCATGTATTGACACTTGGGGTTCTGTCAGTAAAAGCGAAGACAGCAAATCAAGAAGACTGGCAACCCTTCCATTTTCTCATACGAGCGCTATGGGACAGGTACAATCGCGTCATCTGCCGCTCAAAGGTAAATGCTTCGAACGAATTTGATAGCAAAGATTACATCCTCAGAAGAAAGGTTTGTGTATTTGCTCATTTTTCTATGCGTTGCTTCCACCTTCACTCAAGTGCAGCGCTATTGTATCTGTCGCTTGGATTCTGGCAAAGTTGCCAGTCTTCTTGATATGATGTCTTCGGTAAAAGGCATATTGCGATTTTTATATTGCCAGGAATAAAAACAGTGAATAGATTCGGTTTGCGACAGCTTTTTTAATTTGTCAAAATCTTAAAAAAAATCATTGTTCAACGGTTTCAAACAATGTAGCATTTCCAGAGGTGAGTGACAGGGGCATCCATCGTCAGGTAGAGAGGCTCATTATCGTTCCGTTTCCGGCGCTTGTTCAAAGTTCAATTCAATCGTTCGTCGATGTTAGGTGAAATTCAATATTTTCGACACCAAAAAAAATTCTCGAACAACGCACCAGGGATGGATGCTGAACTATAAGGGGGGTGATCCAGGATCTCGCTTCTCTCATATGTATGTGCGTGTATGCATATAAAGAGGCGTTAATTTTGACTTATTGACACCGCATCAACATCGTCATCGCCGTCATCACCGTCCTGTTGAAATGCGGTCCGAAGACGGGCTGGGGGAATAACGAACTTTTTGGCTCTTTGTTTCGCATATATTCCGTTCCCCGCGCGCTCTTGTGGCCGATTCGTTGAATCTTTAGGGAAATCATGATACCCAACAACCGGTGGAACTTTGGCGCGCTTCCAAATTCCATCAAGTCGCATTTTTCTCACATACGAGCATTATAGGTATAGCTTATGACATACAAAAGGTTGACGTGGGGAGATTGGAACGACACCGATATGCAATTATTTCGAGAGGGAAATGTTCGCTTTCTTTTTTTTTAAGAAGCGAAAGTACCTTCATCTCCCCGGAGTTTTTCGCGCGAGCGCGCGTGTTTTATTGACCTGCTATCGGAGTTGGGAAGTTTTCCGTTGAAACGAATAAAACTGTCATTCTGTGTTTGGAGCGTTAAATTTACATGTGATTTTTTTCTTCTTTGCATACGCATCTCAATTTGAATCTTTGGTGACATATTCACATGACAGTACCTGACAGTTTGTCGATTGTTGCCCATCAATAAGCAATCACAGAAATATGACTGGCATAAAAGCGCCGGCGAGAACGAGCTGGTCGTAAATCGGGAAATGGCAATCTACAGGTTTTCATAAATCCGGCAGCGATAAAGGAAGATGGGAAGCACAGAGAGGAGCCAGGTAGACACCGAAATGGGTCATTTCGAGGAAGCATTTCAAGTAGCAATCACAAAGGTGTAAACAAAATTATGCATTTTTGATTTACTCTCCTGAAATGCGAGAATTGTATACTCAGAATAAGAGATAATTTAGGAAGGAAGTTACTGCCTTCGAGTGAACTTGTGATCTTCTTCCATAAGGGTAGCGATATGTGAACAATCTGCATTTTTTAATCGATTTTCTCTGTAGATTTCTGTAGCAATTTCCAATTGGTTTTTTCTTGTATACTGTATGCTCGGTTTTCTATGCTTCACTTGAGACAGCGCTCGAAATAGGTCTCGCCAATGTAGCTGCCGAGCATCGCCTTGAACACGTTGTTCTCAAACTGGCGCCGGTTCGTCTGCAGCACTTTGGCTGCCTCTTGGTTCAGCGGGTCCACCGGATTGGGTTCCAAGAACAAGTACTGCAATCCGTACACGATCGAGTTGACGGTCAGCACCGGATTCCAGTCTTCGCGCAGGATGTTCAGACACACATTGCCCTCCAAGTCGATGTTCGGATGGTACACCTGGGTTTCGCATTTCACCTTCGGCGGCTCATGTGGGTAGTTCGGGCCGACCTTGAAGTTGAACACGAATCGACCCCCTTTGTAGAATCCTTCGTCCGGGCAGACGATCAGCTTGAAGTCAAGCAAATCATCCGGATTGGCAAACTGCATGGCACACGTTTCTGGCAAATTCAGCTCGTTGATATCTTTTGTAATTCGCAGCTGGGCCGCGGTCATGGCCTTCTTCCGGGGACCAGAGTTTGGAGATGCCTCATCGTTCTTCTTCTGTTGCTTCAGCGAGAATAGTTTGATCATTTTCTACTACGATTTGTGGTTGATTACACGTTGGTATTGGGATGAAACAGTGGATGAGAATGAAAAAAATTACCAAAAGTTTTGACAGCCACTTTCAACAGGAGATACTTTCCCCTTCTCGATCGCCACTCGTAGAATCAATCAACAACTAATTATTACTGATATACGGCCTACTACCGATATTTTTGTTTTACTCTGGCGCACGGATAATAAGTAAAGCCCTCTACTGTAGCGCTTTAATAATAAGTATACTTATAAGGAATATAAGGATGCTATCCGACAGCTTAAGAACAACAAAGCAGCTGGTAAAGAAGGTATCAGAGCGGAACTTATTAAAATGGGTCCGGATAAGTTGGCCACTTGTCTACACCGACTGATAGTCAGGACCTGGGATCAGTGTTGGAAAAGTTCACGATATTTCACGAAGATCACCAAGGAAAAAGTTCGCGAGTCATAGTGAGTTTTAGTGAACTTTTCCATCACTGCCTGGGATACAGAGACCTCTGTTTATCAGCATTAGGTTTTGCACCGTCGAGGTTAACCTCAATCTGATGACAGTTCAGTGGTACTGTTTACGTGGACTTAGGCTCTGAACCATTTCAGTGCTAACATTTGAAAACGGCACAAAAGCCATTTGTAAACAAATGGTTTGTGGGCCCTTTACTCACTACTTGAAGTACACCCACTCGACACAACAGCAACATCGGGTAGGGGAAATTTTCCCCTTCCTGACGATGCTGTTGGTTTGCGTGGGCGTTCTTCGGGTAGCGAGTAAAGGGCCCACAAACCATTTGTTTACAAATGGCTTTTGCGCCGTTTTCAAATGTTAGCACTGATTTGGTGGATTATTTTAACTTTTGGTTAAAATTTGACAGATGAAAAGTTATCGATCAACCCTGCTATCCGAGCATGGTTATTTCTGACAGACCATTTGCCGGGTTAAATTTAACTCGTGGTTAAAAGTGACATTTCGAAAGTTATTTTCTATGTTCGAAATCCCTGTGTTACCGATCGATCGGGTTTCGAGCAGAACTCAGTCGCTGTTGTCAAGATTTAACTTCTTGTCTGTCAGAAATAACCACGCTCGGATAGCAGGGTTAATCGATAACTTTCCATCTGTCAAATTTTAACCAAAAGTTAAAATAATCCACCAAATGATTCAGAGCCTTAGTCGATTTTTTCTTGGGTAGATTTTCTAGATAACTTTTCAGATTGCAGTGAGATGTAAACCACACTTTTGCAATGTCCACGAACAACATCCTTTCACCACGCATTTCCTCGACAATTTTCAAGTTAAAATTCGGAAATTTTAAAATATATATTTTTCGAAAAAACGACTAAGTGCTTGTAAACAGTACCACTGAACTGTCAAAAAGGTTCAGCCGATTAACACTGAGTTCATTTATGACGTCACGCTGCAGTACCTAATGCTGTGAACCATTTGCCGAGTTAAATTTAACTCGTGGTTAAAAGTGACATTTCGAAAGTTATTTTCTATGTTCGAAAATCCCCGTGCTGTCGATCGACCGATTTTCGACCCACGGTTGTCAAAATTTAACTTCTTGTCTGTCAGAAATAACCATGCTCGGATAGCAGGGTTAATCAATAACTTTCCATCTGTCAAATTTTAACCAAAAGTTAAAATAATCCACCAAATGGTTCAGAGCCTAAGTGAACTGTTGCGCTTACAACGGAGGGCTGCACACACGGCTTGCTGACTCGTTAAGCGTCAAGTTAAGACCTGCTTACACTAGCGCTAATATTAGGTTTTGCACCGTCGGGGTTAACCTCAATCTGATGACAGTTTAGTGGTACTGTTTACGTGGACTTAGTCGATTTTTTCTTGGTTGGATTTTCTCGATAATTTTTCAGACTGCAGTGAAATGTAAGTACATTTCTGCAATGTCCACGACCAACATCCTTTCAACGCGCAGTTCCTCCAACAATCAATACGAAACTAACGATTTTAAATTGGCTTACTACTTGACTAGCCTATTGGTCCCAAGCAAACGATTAAAGTACCGTATTCTAGTCGAAATTCTACTACTACACAATATTTGTTTTGATTCGCTATGAAAGTTTGACAGATAAAATGAGGGGTTAGTTGATTTTCCTATGTTTCGAGGGGTGAATCGATTAGCTTGGGACCGAAGAGAGTACCAGAGCTGAGCCAAAAAGTTGAGCACGTTATTTCGGGACTTTCTAGTCTTATGGTGGTAAGCTCCAACCGGTATTATCCTCGGATTAAATCCCGATCAAGAATGTCCGGCTGGTTTGATGTCGACATCAGAGTTAATCAACATAATTCTGAGCAAACATTTTTCAGATCATACAAACAGGGACGGTATTAAAAGTTAATCCGAGTTGGAGCTTACCGCCATTAGAGTTACCTCTATGGTTCCTCGACAATTTTCAAGTTAAAATTCGGAAATTTTAGAAAATTTTTTCGAAAAAACGACTAAGTGCTTGTAAACAGTACCACTGAACTGTCAAAAAGGTTCAGCCGATTAACACTGAGTTCATTCGTGACGTCACGCTGCAGAACCTAATTAGGTTCTGCAGCGTGACGTCACAAATGAATTCAGTGTTAATCGACTGAACCTTTTTGACAGTTCAGTGGTACTGTTTACAAGCACTTAGTCGTTTTTTCGAAAAACAATATTCTAAAATATCCGAATTTTAACTTGAAAATTGTCGAGGAACTGCGCGTTGAAAGGATGTTGGTCGTGGACATTGCAGAAGTGGGGTTTACATCTCACTGCAGTCTGAAAAATTATCGAGAAAATCCACCCAAGAAAAAATCGACTAAGTCCACGTAAACAGTACCACTGAACTGTCATCAGATTGAGGTTAACCCCGACGATGCAAAACCTAATTAGGTTCTGCAGCGTGACGTCACGAATGAACTCAGTGTTAATCGGCTGAACCTTTTTGACAGTTCAGTGGTACTGTTTACAAGCACTTAGTCGTTTTTTCGAAAAAAAAATTTCTAAAATTTCCGAATTTTAACTTGAAAATTGTCGAGGAACATCGCATTGCAAGGATGTTGCTCGTGAACATTGCAGAAATGTACTTACATTTCACTGCAGTCTGAAAAATTATCGAGAAAATCCAACCAAGAAAAAATCGACTAAGTCCACGTAAACAGTACCACTAAACTGTCATCAGATTGAGGTTAACCCCGACGGTGCAAAACCTAATAGACATTGCTAAAGTATGATTGTGTCAGTGACTTTCATCGGGAAAATTTTCCGTAATGAAGTTTTTTTTTCCCGATGAAAACATTTTGCGTATACGTATACGTGATCTCGTACGTGACGTAGTGTGCGTACGATAAACGTCAGCAATCTCTATGCCACACATGACCTATTCAGGACAAATTATTTTTATCTAGATAAAAATGTCTACACTAATAAAATTCCACACATTTTTATTCGCGAATTTCCATGTGAAATACCACATGATTTTCATGTGACCACACATAAACAGAATCCACCCAGAAGCACACATGAAATTTATGAGTTAAATTTATAGTATGTGTGGTTGCACTTGGCTTTTATGTGTACACATATTAAGTATGTGTCCGGCACATAGATATCATTTGTTGATCACATTGCAAAAATGCATGTGTGGGACACATAAAAACAATCTTTGAAATTTTATCGGTGTATGGTTTTGACAGTTCGGATCGCTGCACATTCTAATCGGCCGTTACTGATTTTTGGGAAAAATGTACGATTTAGTTTCATGTCAGTTTGTCGGTGGTAATATGCCCAATATTAAAAAAGGCGACAAGCTAGAATGTGAGAACTATCGAGCGATCACTATTCTCAACGCGGCCTACTAAGCGTTTTCCCAGTTCATCTTTCGCCGTCTATCGCCGCTAGCAAGCAGATTTGAGGGAAGTTATCAAGCCGGTTTTGTGGACAACAGATCGTTCTTGGTGCATTTCAGCGCTGAGTAAATCTGTTGTGCTGTAATCATATCCGGCGGAGGTACGACACAAGGGGGGCATCTAGGTTTTGAACGCATTGCGCAACCTGATCTTTGAGCGGACTTTGGATGTTCGAGCCAAGCAAAATCGCATTTGCTTTCTCCTGTGGGGTGATTGAAAGATGATCGATATAATTTTCAACTCTGAGAGGTGGAACGGGTTTGGGATGAGTTTCCAAGACCTTGGCCACCTTCCAGAATGGTCTGTTCAGATCGGCCCTTTCACGTTTTTGCCCAAGTCTCCAATCCTCTGAAACTGGCGTCTACGCACCATTCTAAACCCAATTAGTAATTGGGTGTGGGAATCAATAGCAACAAATTTACCCCTCACAGGAACTTGTTGAACACATGCCTCGTCAGCCACGGATATGGCCTGTTGGAGTCCTTCCAACGCCCGGTCGATGTCATCTACGGTGTCAAGCGGCGGATCTTCGTCGATGCCTCTGTCAACCACATGTCCAAACTGCACTCAATTTACGTGCTGGTAGTCTTTGTACCGGTTAATGGTCGAAACGGACAGGAAAAAAGTCCAGGGAGATGAAAGTTGGTTCGTCTGGAACCTGCACAGTGTACATTCCACGTTGTGCTTGATCGAATAGTAGACATCCGTTCCGGTTCCGCTGGTAGTAGTATGGGTGATGGTGATCAGGTCATTCTTGAATTGTCTTGCTAATCCGTTGATGGCGGCACACTGCCGAGGGCAGTAAACAGCGATGCACCGGACATTTCCAGTTGGCGATTCTACCTCCACACAAAGAGCTTCGATGATAGAAGTGTGGATGTGACAAGGGGTGGGTCACTTCGCACACCAATTTTGGGTCATCTTTTTTGTCAGTGTGCCGCAAGTATGCTGATTGTGCCGGTCATAGAGCAAGCTGCGATTGTTTGTAAAATATCCATCCCGGCAACCCGGTATTTCTGACACCTTGAATGTTTTGGTTTGAAATCGCAAGGATAAATCGGATTGAGGATGACGCGGGAAGTGGCGAATGTGCGAAATTTCGGTGTT